AATGTAAATGTGGCTTTTTCTTCTGCAATAAGCAATATCCTCACCTTGTTTCATTTTAAGTCAGAATAGCTGCGGTCGCTTATTTAAAACTATAGAACGCACAATGGGCTGTGGATAGAACTTTGTAAACAGTGTGTCATTTCTTGCAGTTGGTTTTTCAAAGCCCTCAGCAGGAAGGATGCCGAACGACGCCTTCTCAGTGCTGGTAACACACACGGTGCTTTCCTCCTTCGAGAGAGTGAATCCACCAAAGGTAATTTGTTTAGATCACCATTTCCTCTGTTATTAGGAAAATGACAAAAAGATTGGAGAGGGAACCTTAAAAGCAACTTTGGAAAAGGGTCATTGGGTGCCTTACAATTATGATAGCAGTCTTCCAACATTTGAGTGCTGTCACAGAGAAGAGGGGGGTCATCCTATTTTCCAAAGTATGTGATGGCCGACTTCTGACAAGCAAAGTCCATGGGGGAAGATGGATTTGCTTAACAACTGCACAATTCACTTCAAAACTGCAGAAATAACAACAACAACAACAACAACAACAACAACAACAACAATAATAAAGTTGGAAGAGACCTTGGAGGTCATCTAGTCCAATCTCCTGCTCAGGCAGGAAACCCTATATGGAGCATTCACCGCTTCTGGAGGCAGGTTGTTCCACTGGTTAAATTGTTCTAACTGTCAGGAAGTTTCTCCTTAGTTCTAGGCTGCTTGTCTCCTTGGTTGGTTTCCATCCGTTGCTTCTTGTCCTGCCTTCAGGCGCTTTGGAGAATAGCTTGACTCCCTCTTCTTTGGGGCAGCCCCTGAGATATTGGAAGACTGCTATCATGTCCCCCCTCGTTCTTCTCTTCCTTAAAGTGATTTGCTTAACAACCATGGCAAAAAATAAATAAATCATAAAATTGGGGGCAACCCACTTAGCAACCATCCTGCTTAGCAAAGGAAATTTTGGTTCTAACTGTGGTTGTAAATCAGTGACCATTTGTAAATGTGTGCCTTAGGCAACGGCTCAAAAAAGTCAAGAAGGCAGCCCCAACAAAAAGAGGGAAGACCTGCCCCATTTAATCCCATAAAAGGGATGGAGCTTTAATTGCTTCAAGGTGGCTGCCATTTTTACTTTTTTTGACTGCTTCCCTATGGGCACCGACCTTTTTCACCAAAAGGCAGAAGCTTTTGTGATCAAAAATGAGAAAAATTATTAATTAATGTATCCCTTTGAATGTAGCTCTCTTCCTACAATACACATTTAGTTTGAACTCCTCTTGACTCCCAAGTCCTTTTTTCACCTGTCCCAGCCAGGAAGGAAGCGTTTTGGAGGAAGGAAAGTGATGCCTGCCTTTCTTGCTCTGAGAAAGGAACAGAAAAGTAACCCCGTTCTGTTTCTCCCCAGGCTCCTTCTCCCTCTCTGTGCGAGATTTTGACCAGAACCAAGGAGAAGTTGTGAAGCACTATAAGATACGAAATATGGACAACGGCGGGTTCTACATCTCTCCTCGTATCACCTTTGACAGCTTGCACAGCCTGGTAGAACATTATACCAGTAAGGCTAAAGACACTGCTGGAGCCTCTTTTGGGTGGGACTGGGCTTCATAGAAGGAGCGTTTGGGTCCCCCAACGCCAAGGATACTAATGTAAGGACTGCCAAGTGCCACGTGATTCCTGTGGTTTTAGCACCTAATGCACTAACATAGTTGTTGTCCTGGGATTGGCACCATCCAGGGCAGTGTTTCTCAACCTCAGCAACTTTTGAGATGTGTGGACTTCAGTTGAGAAGCACCATTCTAGAAGATGCTTTTTGAGTTGTAAAAATGGCTCCACAGATGAGAAGTTGCCCTTTCTGAGGATAGGGAGATGTTCTTGATGACCTTCCATGCCTCTCCGCTCCTTGTGAAGCTCCAATGCTATGTGCAGACGTGGTCCAGGGCCATCCCTTTGGCCTACTTACTCTTCTCCTTTGCATCATCCTACTCATAGATAACGCGGATGGGCTTTGCACCCGCCTAACCAAGCCCTGCCAAACTCAGAAGCCACAGAAGCCCTGGTGGCAGGATGAGTGGGAAGTGCCCCGGGAGAGCCTGAAACTGGTGGAGAAACTGGGAGCAGGGCAATTTGGTGAAGTCTGGATGGGTAAGTGGGGTGTGGATTCATGCATACACTGCTCAGTCATGACTTGCAGCAATTCAAGAAGCTATACTTTTATTAGAAAAGACTGCTGTTATTATTATTACTACTACTACTACTATTACTATTTTATCCCATTTTTATTCTTTGAATATCCTTCTATGTAATCCTTCTTCGTCCTACTTTCCCCATAACATCAACCCTGTGATGTGATGTGGGGCTGAGAGAGAGTGACTGGCTCAAAGTCATCCAGTTGGCTTTCGTGCCTAAGGCGCAGTGGTGGGATTCAGCCAATTTGCACCATTTCGGTAGAACCGGTAGCTAATTTTTTGTTGCCCAGGCCCAGAATGGACTTCCGGAAGCGGCATCCACACAGAGAACCGGTTGTTCACCTATTTGAATCCCACCACTGCTAAGTTGGGACTAGAACTCACCATTTCCTAGTGATTGGCCCAAAGTCACCCAGCCAGTTTTCATATCTAAAGCGGGATTAGAACTCTCTGTCTTCTGTTGGTTGGCCCAAAGTTACCCAGTCAGCTTTGGTGCCTAAGGAGCGACTAGAACTCACCATCTCCTGGTGATTGGCCCAAAGCCACCCAGCTGGCTTTGATACCTAAGGCAGGACTAGAACTCATCGTCTCCTAGTTCCTAGCCTGGTGCCTTAACCAGTGAACCAAACTGGCTCTCATGATAGCAAAGATTAGTTTAGAAAGAAGCCATCTATACTTCCTGATATTTTTCAATTGACAATAAAGAACTTCATGCAGGTGTTTAATATCCAATTTTACCCACCAAATGTCATTGTCTTAATTGTCTGCTCTTTAAAAAATTACTGAAGTAATTTTACATAGTGATGAAGTAGAATTTTTAGTATAGATCAGCTGCTGAGCTTTTAATTTAGTTTCTGTCACAGTGCTGTATGTAAACATTAGCATTTGCTCTTTCCTGCAGCCTGAACTGCCACAAATTGTTTGTGGCAGGAAATGACTGCTGAGAAACAATGGTTGTCTTGGCATCACAATGTGAACCAGATCAGTTGCAAACACGGAGGCCACATTTGCAGAACACGGTCCGCTTGGTTAGCTTCAGTCTCAGCTAGCTTCTTCATGGCTTGTGTGAATCCAACTCACTTGATTGCTGCATGTAACAAGACATTGTGCAGATTCAGGAAATGAGTTGATTTCATAACCGAGTGAAGTATGTTGTATGAATACAGCTGCTGGGTTCAAAGAGGCGCGAAGGGCTCAAGACTCGTTGTGTCCTCTGAACAGAGGCATCCACGTGTTTGTGTGCTGAAAAAGTTAAGATGGCAGTCACAATCACGCAACTGAAGTCCTACTCTGTGTTTACATACATGAAGGAAAAAGGCAGGGCTTCAGTTGTGTGGTCCTGGCCACACCAAAGTGGCCATCAAGAGCTTGACACAAGGCAGCATGTCGCCTGATCCCTTTTCCCCATAAACAGGCCTGCTGCTAGATCAAAATGGTGGAGAGGCTGTTTTGATGACCAAAAGAGCTTCCCCTTGAACTGTAGGATTATGTCCAGTGATGGAGAAATTAGGCTTAGCACTGGACCCATATCTTCCCTCTCTCCCTCCACAGGCTACTATAATGGACACACCAAAGTGGCCATCAAGAGTTTGAAACAAGGCAGCATGTCGCCCGAAGCCTTCCTGGCTGAAGCCAACTTGATGAAGAAACTGCGCCATGCACGCCTGGTGCGGCTGTACGCAGTGGTGACTCAAAGGCCCATGTTCATCATTACAGAGTACATGGAAAAAGGTGCGCTTCTGAGGATGTTTCCTCCCATTTCACCTGGATGAAGTTTGGTCCTGACTTGGAAGAGGGAAATTTTGCAGGTTTATTCTGATTCTGTTAGGTTTTATTTTCTAAATGTTCCACATTTCATATTTTTTCTAGGGAAAGTCTCTTCTCCTCTCCTCTCCTCTCCCCTCCCCTCCTTGGAGTCCTTTCAATATGTTGAACAATCCATTCAAAGATCATAAAAAGTGTTACTTTCTGGGCTCTGTTCTTCACCAAGGTGGCTGGGTTTGAGGGAGCGAAGGTTAGCGTGATCAAGAAGATACATAAAGTGTATATAAAAGGAAATTATTAGTGCAAATTGCAGCAATTTATATCCATTTCAGCATATGAAAGGTCTTCCTAATGGTGAGGGCTCCACAACAATGGAGCAGCCTACTTAGAGTCTCTGGGTTCTCCATCTCTGGAGGCTTTTAAGAAGAAGCTGGAGATCCATCTCCACTGGATGCCTTAAATAGTTTTCCTATACACTGCAGAGGGTTGGACCAAATAATCCTTGGGGTGTCTTCCTGCTCTATGGTTCTTTCACTCTAGGATCCTAAAAACCAAAAAATATTATCAGAGTCTTTGGATGGAAAGTAGGAGATAACTGCAGATTTCAGAATAACCTGTCTGGGGATGTGATGGTTACTCACCTCTGGACTCGTCATCTAGGGCAGTGTTTGTCAACTTGGGCAACTTCAAGCTGTTGTGGGCTTCAGTTGAAGTCCAGATACCTTAAAGTTGCTGAAGTTGACAAATACTGCTCTAAGGGGCTTTCCTTCATGGCTGAGTTAAAGTGTTTGCCACCAGTCCTTGAGCTGACTATATCACTATAATATAGAGTACGTACATAAAATTTCTTCCCCCACTGCTGATTGCTATCCTGTTGAAGCTGCCAATGGCAGTGTCTTTATTTACTGTCTGCAGCTTTTAAAGGAAAGAGATCAATAGACCCTTCCGTCCTTATTTCCCTTCTCTCCTATCAAATATGGAAGCTAAGATGAAAACACCCCTCCAATTACTTTCCTTCACAAAGGTTGTAGCCATGGAGGAAACCAGTTGTGACAGATGCATAGATATGTCTGGACATCTAACTCTTGCTCGGAGCATTCACACCTGCTTTGTTGGAGGTGTTCACCTGCTTGAAACCCAAGTGTAGGGCCTGTCTGGAGAAGTGCTAAACCAGGGGTAGGCAACCTTGGCTCTTTTATGACTCGTGGACTTCAACTCCCAGAATTCCCAAGCCATAAGGGTCATAAGGGTGAAAAACAGCCATAAGTCACTTTTTTCATTGCCGTTGTAACTTTGAATGGTCACTAAATGAACGGTGGCAAGTCGAGGACTACCTGTAGTCTATTATTCCCCCTGTTCTTTCAGAGCCAACCAAGTTATTTTGCAGAGTTCCCTTTGCTCTAGATAGTTGGGCTTGGGAGAGATCTTGCAGGACTTGGCACAAGGCAATGGAGAAAAGGAAGGAAATGAAAGGCTCTCGCAATTTAGCTCTCTACAAAAGGAGCAAAGCCTGCCAGGATACAAAAATAGTTGGGGGATCTGGGAGGGATTTCCTGCCAGCTATTCTCTCCATCTTCACGAGGCTGCAGCAAAGCTAGGCTCCCTCCAACCCTGAATTAGCCATCAGGCGGAATAACAGCATGCTTAAGGGAAGGGAGGCACCACGGAGTACCCCCCTCCAGCTATCCGGCCATTAACTCTCTCCTGGCCACAGTTAGCATTCAGCCTCCAAGGAGTCTTAATGTCTTGTCAATTAAGCCATGGAACAGCCAAATGGCATTGCTGCTTTTAGGGTACCAATTGACCTTCATCCAACTCTGGACTCTTCTCTCTGTGGATTAAGCTAGTGGTGGGCTCTTGTATTTGAACTTTATAGTGCATCAACAGTAGTCCATTCCCTCTTCCATCCCAAAGCCAAAGGCTCAGATGTTCTGCATGTTTGACACCAACCCATTAAGCATTACTAATTTTGTATTTGTGTATTTATAACTGAAGAGGCACTGAGCACATTCTGACTGATGATTTCCCCTTCTTCCTTCTAGGCAACCTGGTAGATTTTCTCAAAGCTGCAGAAGGCACTAAATTAACAATTTATAAACTGCTAGACATGTCAGCACAGGTACGAACAAAATAATATAATGGGGTGAGAAGATATAAGCAAACAGAATGGCTGAGGAGGAGCAAATAGTGAAAATGCCTTTTATTGGGGCGGGGGGGGGTGTTAATGGGTAGAAAACTTATTTTTAGGCATGAAAAGAAATGGTAGAAACAGCTTCTGCTGAACCAGGGAATTTAGTTGGCTGTAGCTAGAATCTCTCCAGAACAACAATCTCACAAGATCCTTAAAAAGAGATCTAACCTAGAAGTAAGGAGAAACTTTCTGACAGTGAGAACAATTAATCCATGGAACAGCTTGCCTCCAGAACTCTCACTGGAGGTTTCTAACAAGAGATTGGAAAGCTATTTGACTGGAATGGCATGAGGCTCCTGCCTTGAGCAGGGGATTGGACTAGAAGACCCCTGAAGACCACCCAGCCTTATGATTCTATGTTTTATGCTATGGTGTGTGCATTATTCATTTTCATTTCTGGGATGGCCAAAAGCCTTGACTTTTCCAGGGAGCGTTTGCTGTTTCCTCTCCTTAAGTACAAGGCAAGCATGTCCACCTAGTGATCTCCACGCTAGGCAATTATCCAATTCAGTTTGTTAATTGAAGAAAGCAGCCAGACCTCTTGTCCTGGGAATCAGAAAGGCTGCAGGTTAAAACAAAAACAGGCTCTGGTGCCCACTTGGAGCAAAAGAAAGAGGAGGAGGATTCAGGGGGATGTATGTATGTATGTATGTATGTATGTATGTATGTATGTGTATATAAATAAATGCTAAGATGTTTTTTCAGCCTGTTTTACAGCAGGAGGGTTGTGAGGATTCATGGGAAAGGAAGGGAGTTACACTTGACCTGAGTGCTTGGGAGGAAAGCTAGGGTGGAAATGCAGCACAAAAGTGTGTGATGTGTCTCTCCTCTTTGCCCACCAAGATAGCAGAAGGAATGGCCTTCCTGGAGAAGAAAAACTATATCCATCGTGACCTGCGGGCTGCCAATATCCTTGTGTCCGAAAGCCTTTGCTGCAAGATTGCAGATTTTGGGCTGGCCCGCCTTATGAAGGACGATGAATACACTGCTCAAGAAGGTGGGTCTCTTCTTGCCCCTTGGCCTTGCTCAGCAAGCAAAGCTTCTTCCTCCTTTGGGGGGGGGGAAGGACTGCACGGAGGGTGTCAAAAAATTCAAACTTCAAACACCCAATCCATTTTTACGTGTGGGGTGCAATGCATGTCAAAAGGAGAGAGGGGGGGCTTTGATTGTGCATTCAAACTTTCTTAATCTTTTCTTTTTTTAACTCCCTTAGAAACACTCTTGCTATGACTTCATTCTTCTGAATGGGCAGATCAGGGTCCATGAATTATTCTGAAGATGGAACTGGGGTGTGGGAGGGAAGCAGTTAGGACAGATGACCTTATGCATAGGTACTATGTACACTGATTCCAAAAGTGTTTCTCAACCTTGATCACTTTAAACTGTGTGGACCTCAACTCCCAGAATTCTGGAATTGAAGTCCACACAGTTTAAAATGACCAAGGGTGAAAAACACGGGACCACAATTGATCCTTAGAATGCAGGTGTGTGATGCACACCCAAGCTAGGCTAAAGGGTCAGAATCCTTTCTCCCGATAGGAAAACTGCCCCACTGTTTTAGAGCTGCAGCTGGGGTCTTCAAACTTGGCCCTTTTATGACTTGTGGACTTCAACTCCCAGAATTCTGGCTGGCTGAGGAACTCTGGGAGTTGAAGTCCACGAGTCATAAAAGGGCCAAGTTTGGAGACCCCTGCTCCAGCCCGTCTCCTGAGAAAGTTGTAGCCCACCAGCTTTGCCTTGTGCAACAGCCAGGAAAGGCCATGAAAGATAAAGCTGCCTGCAACCCTGGTAGGATGGAATTTGTGATTTTGACTGCAGATCCTTGCACGCTGTGAGCCACTGTTTTTCAACCTCAGCAGCTTTAAGAGGAGGGGGGCCTCAATTCCTAGAATTTTAAAATATTTTAAAGACCCCAGTGATTCTGCGGGATTCTGAGGCACTTTATTTAATTTGTACCCTACCTTTATTATTTTTACAAATAAGTCAAGGTGGTGCACATATCCAACACACCTTCTGCCTCCTGTTTTCCCACAATAACCCTGTGAGGTGGGTTGGGCTGAAACGGAGCGACTGGCCCAAGGTCAGACGTATCAAGGATGACTGAAGGTCCAGGAACAGGAAAATTCTCTGTAATGTGCTGGTCATCAACAAAAGTCTGATTTTTACAGATGAGGAACACTTCTTCTAAGGATGTGTACATGAAGGAGATGTGGCATGAAATGCTGGCATTCCAGAGTGTGCAGCTCCTTCTTGTGGCCAATGCAATGAAATTTACTAGTTTTCCTCTTGGGGAAAATTAGCCTTTCTTTTTCAGCCTTCCAACTCTCCCGATTGGCTGAAACTCAGTTTCTGAATTCACGGCCCGCAGAGTAAGGTAGTTCTGGGAATTAAAATCCAGAGGAAACAGGTGGGTCTAACTCTGCATCAAGATATCATTCTTACCCTCTTAAGATTTCTTCCTTCAGGAGCAAAGTTTCCAATTAAATGGACAGCCCCCGAGGCCATCAATTATGGAACATTCACCATCAAATCAGATGTCTGGTCATTTGGGATCCTACTGACTGAGATCATTACTTATGGCCGGATCCCTTACCCAGGTCAGTAAGTAGCAATCTATTTCCATTTGTGATCCATACAAAATAAGGTTGCCTTTGTCTCAATCTTCCTCCTTCCGTTATATGTTCAAGATGGACAGTATTTAATATTTATTTGTTATGTATATGTAGGGGTGTGGGTCTATACCAGGGGTAGGCAACCTTGGCTCTTTTATGACTCGTGGACTTCAACTCCCAGAATTCCTAGCTGGCTCAGGAATTCTGGGAATTGAAGTCCATGAGTCATAAAAGAGCCAAGGTTGCCTACCCCTGGTCTATACATATGTTGTACATAGTATGTGTATCATGTATGTGTTTCACTTTGAGAGCAGGCAACTAAATTTCATTTTTTAATGTGTGCCGTTGTGCCCACAGTAAAAAAAATGACAATAAATCCATCCATCTATCTATCTATCTATCTATCTATCTATCTATCTATCTATCTATCTATCTATCTATCTATCTATCTATTGCAAGGTTTTTCAAACTTGGCAGCTTTAAGATTTGTGGACTTCAACTCCCAGAATTCCTTAGCCGGCCACAGTTGCTGGACGATTCTGCAAGCTGAAGTCCACGCATCTTAATTGCTGAGTTGAGCAACTCTGCTGCAAGGTAAAGAGCCTGGGGGGAGCATCGCCACATCTTTTGGGGGGTGCTTTATGTTGCATCCTTTGCGGAGGGAACTGCCCCACCTGGACCCCATCCCCGTTCTCACTTGCTGCTTCTCTTCTGGCTCCAGGAATGAGCAATCCAGAAGTCATCCAAAACCTGGAACGAGGGTACCGGATGCCACAACCGGATAACTGTCCAGAAGAGCTGTACAAACTGATGCTGCAATGTTGGAGGAATAACCCAGAGCAACGGCCCACTTTTGAGTTCCTGAAAGGGGTCCTGGAGGACTTTTTCACTGCCACGGAAGGACAATATGAGCAGCAGGTGTAAAGATGGCTTCAAACCAGGATCCATGGTACACTATTCTCACAACCAACAGAAAAGATGCTCTTTTGAAGACTTCGCCCTGCATCCAAGATGGCGGTGGGGGGGTAGGATGGAGAAGAAGGGCTTATTGGGACCCCAATGACTTCCAGAGTTCCTGATCTCTGGCAAACTTCCCCCTTTTTTCAAAAGGAAAAGAAAACCAACATTCAAAGGTGCCCAGAAGAACTGAGACGGAGAGTTCTCGCACATGCTCAGCAGGCCGAAGCTAGCCTTTTATTATTATTATTATTATTATTACTTTTTGCTTCAGCTGCTCTGTAGAAGGCACATGCACCCGGTATACCGTAGCTAGTCTCGGCTTATGACCGTGTTGAACCTGGCAATTGCGGTTGTAGGTTGCGACAGTCGTAAAGCAAATGACCAGACCTGTTTGTACGGCCTATTTTGCAGCGCCCTTAAAGCAAAAACTGGTCATTAAGCGAATCTATTTTTTGCTACGGGGCAGTTTTTTCCAGAAATTTAAAGTAAAACGCTGGTTTCCAACAAAACCATTGTAAATGGAGGTCATGTGTCTTTGAGGGAGGGGGAGCATCAGAACTTCAAATCTAAGTCATAAGTAGCTTTGGGGGGGAGTCTCTTGTAACTTCGAGTGGTCGCTAAGAGACCAGTTGTAAGTTGAGGATTAGCTGTACAAATAAAGAAGCACTGGAAGGCTGTTTCTTAAGGCAACGGTCCTCGAGGACGTTGGCTTTTCTGGGATTGGAACCAGGCCTGGAAGCTGAACAAAGACAATAGAAAGTGATTCTGGGATGTGGTCAAAAAACTCAAGATGGTGGTCACAATTGCTGTCGAAGCTCTGCCTTTATTTTTGTGGAGACACACATGAAAAAAGAGAGCTTAGCTTGCATGATTGTAGCTGCCATTTTGACTTTTTCTGACCACACCTTGGATCTGACAAAGAGAAGAAAGGAAGGTGGAGGAGGAAGGAAGGTAATTTACAGGTTCCTCTAAGAGAGGTTATTTTTAAACCATTGTTTCTTGAACAAGCCATAACTTGGGTTCACACACGACCTTAAACAGTGGCTTCCAAAACCACAGCACAGGCAGGAAATTGTATCATTTGATCTGCTCTATACGAACACAAGCTTAATACATATAAGTTATACATGCAAAATTCTGTGTTTTCAATTGTATGATTGATTTTGATTTAGTTTAAAATTCCTAATGAGTTTTTTTCCCCAAAAGAACAAAACGTGCAATAAATTTATTCAGGATATGTCAAAAAAACAGCGCATGGAGCAGGGGGAGCTTAAAAAACGAAGGGCAAATCATGCTAAGATAAAAAAAGGGCTCGTTTCGAAAAGTTCAGTTAAAATAAGAGCAGCGAGTGAAACTTCAGCTTGCTAAATCGAAGCTGTAGCAAATTGAAACTTCAAAAAAACTTTGATGCGGAAGGTGTGCGAGTTTTGAAAAGCAGAAGGGGAGGGGGATTCAACCAAAGGAATGTTTCCCCTCCACGTGAAAATGGTACCAGCCCATCCTAAATACACCCCTGCATTTCTCCCTCCCGCAACAGTGGTACGGTCGAAGCAACTCCTCGCTGCTCGATCTAACTTGTTGTCGCGAAGGGCCCCGCCCCTTCGGACTCCCCATTGGCCTTTAGAGAGATACCTCCACTTCTGATAGGCTGGCGAGAGGGGAAGGGGTCTCGGAGGGCCGCCCTCTCCTCCCTTGCCCAGGCGGGCTCGGTTGCGTGGCGGGACTCGGGTCCAGACTGAGGCGCCGTCGGGACGCGACGCGGCGCGGCGGCGGGGGGAAAATGGCGCTGACTCAGGGGACCAAGCGGAAAGTCTGCTACTATTACGACGGTGAGTGAGGGTCTCCGCGTTTGGAGGGCGGGGCTTAGGGAGGAAGAGGAGGGACCGGGGGGGGAGGGGGCGGTCGGAGAAGGGGGACTACACCTCCCATCATCCACAGCGCCTCCGGGCTACTGCTGCTGCGTCTCCTCCTCAAGCACCGGAGCGGCCAGCTGCTTCGGGAGTGGTCATCTTCCCCGAGCGGGCGAGCCTTGCCTGCCTGGACTCCATCTCCCATGCTTCCCAGTCGGAGGCGGACCAGGAGGCGGACCAGGAAGGGGGGGGAGGGGAGGGGAAAGCCGGACTGGGGAGACGGGCAGGCGGGTGACCGTGGGGAGAGGGGGGGAAAGAAAAGAGTCCGGTGGAGGGTGCAGCTCTCGGCACAACAGCCCTGAAAGGTCGGACAGGCTGAGCGTCGGAGGGAGGGGCTCCAGTGTTCCCCCCCCCCCATTACTTGAGGACCTGGAGATTGGCGGGGTTGGCAAAAGCCTGGCCTGGATTTGCACCCTCGCCTGGCAGGTGGAAGGGGGTGGAAGGCGGGCCCGCTGGCTGTCGATCGTGCAGGTCTTCGCGGCGCGAGTGAAGCCCTGGGCAGCGAGGAAAGGTCTGCAAGCGCCGCTTCGTGCAACGGAGACTTGGGGCAGGGATGTCGGGGGTGGGATGGATGGAAGAGGGTCATGGGGCAGTGGGGAAGAAGCCTCAAGAGCAGGGGTCTTCAAACTTGGCCCTTTTAGGACTTGTGGACTTCAACTCCCAGAATTCCTCAGCCAGGCACGCCTGGCTGAGGAATTCTGGGAGTTGAAGTCCACAAGTCCTAAAAGGGCCAAGTTTGAAGACCCCTGGTATAGGGTCTTCTGCTTGGACAGGGGATTGGGCTAGAGGACCTGTTGCACAACGCAAAGCTGGTGGGCTACAACTTTCTCAGGAGACAGGCTGGAGCAGGGGTCTTCAAACCTGGTCCTTTTAGGACTTGTGGACTTCAACTCCCAGAATTCCTCAGCCAGCGTGCCTGGCTGAGGAATTCTGGGAGTTGAAGTCCACAAGCAGGGGTCTTCCAACTTAGCCCTTTTATGACTTGTGAACTTCAACTCCCAGAATTCCTCAGCCAGGCAAGCTGGCTGAAGAATTCTGGGAGTTGAAGTCCACAAGTCATAAAAGGGCCACGTTGGAAGACCCCTGCACTAGAGGGGGCCCTGATGTAAGGAGGGGAACTGTCCAGTTGCAGCGATCCGATCAGGCTTTGATGAAAAACATCCCTCGCAGTCTGGAGTTTTCTTCCCCCACTAAGGAAGAAGGTTGATTTTAAGTGTAGGGAATTCCTATCCCAGCTTTGTCTGGGCCCTGTTCTTTCCCTCCACCAGCAGCAACCTTGTAGGACGTGGATGTTTGATATTTTCTCAGGATTATTCTTTGGGCACCTGATGAAGTATATCCGTAAATGCTTATATGAAAAGAAACGACTTGGCATTTAATATACAGCCCACAATAGCCTTGGAGGGTAGGCTAGGCCTGGCATGAGAGAGCCTAGTGGCCCCGAGTAATTTTCATGGCTGATTTGAAGGGAGGATCCAACACCGACTGCTTACCAAGCCGCTGTAAGCATGTAGGATCTCTTCTGTTTGCAAGCTCAGGATGTGAAGAGGGAGGAAGGCAGGGCAGCCATTGAGAGGAGGAGCGCTGGGTGGGATGTTTCAAGAAGCCAAGGGGCAGCTGGTAGCATGTTGTTGGTAGGGAATGAGATGGAGTAGTGCTCTCCAAGAGGATTGGAAAACAATCTGGAGGTTTAGCAGGGCTGAAAAAGTGAGGAGGGAGCTGGGCCATGGGCAGAGGAGGAAGTTGGTAGGAAATGGAGAAAAGGTTGTTGGTTTTACCATTGTGGCAAAACCCTAGAAGGCTCCTTTTAAGTTCCATTTAAGGGACCATTGTCCTACTCTTGGGCCTGTGGTGATTGCAGGGTGGGGGGAGCTTTGTGTTCTCGTCCAGTTTTCTGGATGAGAAGAGGTCTAAGTTGGACTCTAGGGCAGTGTTTCTCAACCTTGACAATTTTAAGGCATGTGAACTTCAACTCCCAGAATTCCACAGCCAGCATTGCTGGCTGTGGAATTTTGGGAGTTGAAGTCCACATGCCTTAAAATTGTCAAGGTTGAGAAACACTGCTCTAGGGCTTCCCCAGCTTCTTAAGCTAAATTCTGACTTGAGCGATCTCCATTTCTCTGCCCTGTCTTCTCTGGCCTCAGAGCAGAAGATATTTCTCCTTGGAAAAAGACTCCTGGTTGTTTCTCAGGCCACATATTTCCTGTTGTCACCAAAGCAATCCCTATTTCCCATGTTAGCTTGGGAAAGTTGGCGTGTTTCTAGAAGGCGAATTGGCTTGCTGGGAGTCACTTCTTCATCTCAGCCTTCATGGATAGAGTTTTCCAAGAGATGCTGGGGCCTTGTTTGCCAGGAAGGCCGGCCATTTTCCAGGGCAAATAGGTAGTCTCACACAGTTGACATTTGCTTCGGGCTATTTGCTTCTTAGGACCCAAAGCAGCTTGCAACTCTTCTGTGTCTCCAGGAGGATGTTCTCAATTGGACCAAAGGTCCATCTAGAGTAGGGATAGTCATCTTGTAGAGGTTTAAAAGTAATGAGTGGTTTTCTGGCTTTTGGGCAGGAAATGTTTGAAAATAGGATCTTTGTTTTTCTGTGTGTATGTATAAATAAATAACTGTAAGAACAAGGAACCCATTTCCAAAGCTCTTTTCAAAAATCTGTACATTGTGGTTCCATCTATGATTATGATATGGCCCTGTACTTCTATAACAGTAATACAGGTAGTCCTCAGCTTATGACCATAATGGAGCCTGCCCATTATGGCTGTGATACCCATCCTGTGATGGAGCCATTTTATGACCTTTTTTGCAGCAATTGTTAAGTGAGCCTATTTTTTTTTGCTATGGAGTGGTTTTGCAGAAAATGGAGAAGTAAATGCCAATTTTTGGCAAAATGTCATAAAACATGGTCATATGACTGCAGGACGCTAAATGTGGGCCACTTGCCAAGTGCCCCAAATCTGGTCACAAGACTGGGGGGTTGATCACCATAACTTTGGAACCAGGTCCTAATTACCCCTGGGTATGACACTAAGCAGCTGGTCATAAGTTACATATGTGTAAGTCAAGTAATCCAGGCATTTATTGTATATGGTGTCTCATTCCAGACTTAAATACTTTTTCATGCAAGAGCTCTGTGCCAGTTTGAAAACAGCTCCAGATATGATTCCCACATCACCTCTGCTCAGCAGCAGAACTGATTTATTTTTGTCTTAGCAGCTTTCTACTTGAAACCACAGACGAATTCTATTTACTTGTTTATGGAAGTACTGGGACTTAGTGAACCTGGGTGGTGGATTCCTTATTAGGAGGAGCTCTTGGCTGACTCTTTCCCTGCTCCTGGCTCTGGCAGGGCAGAGCTGGCATGGTGGCTTCACAGATCCCTCTCTGTAGGATCCCTTTGGATTTTTTTGCCCTTGACCAGAAGGATGCAAAGCCTGTGCAATAAGGATATGAGTTTGATTTTATTTTCCTTTCTCTTTAGTGGCGTCAGGGATTTTGTTGCTACAGAAGCAGTATGTTGATTTTTCCCCCCTCCTTGTTCTAAATCTAAATGATGTGAGGCAAACAGCAGTGAGGAGAGTCACAGAGGGTTTTTGATCGCCTCTTGAAAGACTAAGGTAACATCTCTCAAACTTGGCAGCTTTAAGATGTGTGGATTTCAATTCCCACAATTAATGGTTGGCTGGGAGGTTCTGGGCATTGAAGTCCAAACAACTTGAAGTTGTCAAGCTTGAAAAATACTGATTAGGGTGTGAAAGTGTCCCTGCAGTTGGACCACCCATCTATCTCTGGCACAGAGGGCTTTGCTTAGCTTACTTAGCACTCTTTTACAGATAATCATCAACTTACGACCATTTGTTTAACAGCCATTCGAAGTCACAACAGTAGCTGAGAAAAACTATAATCAGCCTTGCACTTATGATCGGTCCTTGCAGCCTCCCCACTGTCATGTGAATTTTCACTTATAAGCTTCCCAAGGGGGTTCTGACAAGCAAAGTCAGTGGGGGAAGACAAATTCGCTTAAGGACCACACAATTCATGTAATGATCACTGTAAAAAGGTTGTAAAATCGAAGGTAACTTATTTGATGAGTGCATTGCTTAGTGACATAAATTCCAGTCCCGACTGTAGTTGAAAGTTGAGGACTGCCTCTTCCACTCAGAAGTACATTGCTAACTCAGTTCTCCAACTGAAGGACTCTCTAGAGCCGTGGACTTCTTCCAAGATTCTCAGCAGTGGCTGTATTGGCTGTGGAGTTTTGGATGGTCTGGAAGCTTTAAAAAACACCCTGTGTGTTTCATTTATACTGTCTCTTTTGGAAGGGAGTGAGGTTTTCTCATAAAATGAGGGAGGGTTCAGCCTGCTTAGTATTTTGATGGAGATGACCAAAAGATCCAAGGTTTATAGTTTCCAGTGGGGAGGTCAAAAGAGGTTCCTTGAAAGAAACATTGACAAATGACTATTGTTGTTGCCAAGAAAATAGCATGGAGATTTCCATGAAATTCAGTAGAGCTGAGTCCAACTTAAGGAATTCTTCACAGGTTTACAGCTGCAAGGGGAAGCTGATGCCGACCACTGCTTATTATTGACAAAGTCATATTGTAGGGAAGTGTTGTGTGTTGGGGGTCCGTCCCAATCCTCTTGCCAAATTCTTATATTCCTGGTACAGGAGTGGCCAAAATTGTGGACACCTTTTGGGAAAAGTGTGTTTTTGAGGTTTGATGGCTAATAACACCACTTTTGGGGGGAGTAGTACCATAAAATTACATATCAATGGAAAGATAATTTAATCAAGAATGTAATGCAACATAGTTTGTTCAATTATCTGTACTGTATTCTATGAAAAGTTATAGCCAAATAACCAGAAAAAGGAAGCACAACTTGCTTAGGTTGATCTCAGGTAGCTTTCCTTCATCTGACTGTAGCCAATGAGCATGAGTATTTAGAGAGCCAATCAGATGTCATCTTGTTTGGGCAATGAGCCAATCAGATCACAGTAGGATCCAGTTATTGATGTCCTGTATTGAAGCTGAGAGGAGGACATTTGTCAGTGTGTTATGGGATCGCTATCAAGTTGGTTGGTGTTTTTTGTGTTCTTTCACTTAGTGACCTTGTAAAATGTAATAAAATTAAAGTAATGAGATGTCTGCAAGAAAGCAGTCAGGCTGAAAGAGCACCGAGGGTCCCACAGTTCAACCCTTTTATTGGAACAGATCCTTTAACTCAAGACTCCTGTATTTCTCCTTCCCCTCCTTGTTACATCCATTCTTAAATGCCTTTCTAACATTTTACACGGTTGACATTGTAATGATGTTGTACTCCCATCTCCCCTCTTTTCTTTGCCTCTTAGGGGACATTGGAAACTATTATTATGGTCAAGGTCACCCCATGAAGCCTCATAGGATCAGGATGACTCACAACCTTCTTCTCAACTATGGTCTTTACAGGAAAATGGAAATCTATGTAAGTTTTTTTTTTAAAAAACTGAACATTGAATTCTTCACCCACCGTTACTGACTAGGCCAGGGGTAGGCAACCTTGGCTCTTTTATGACTCGTGGACTTCAACTCCCAGAATTCCTGGCTCAGGAATTCTGGGAGTTGAAGTCCACGAGTCATAAAAGAGCCAAGGTTGCCTACCCCTGGACTAGGTCCTGTGGCTTAGGAAGAAGGAGAGCTACTGCAGGGGAGGGCTTCACACACACACCCCAGCCACCCCAGCTGGTCCAGAGGATGCTTTGTTTGACAGCATCCAGGGGTCTTGCCACATTCAGTCAGAGAAGAAAGTTGCACTGCCCTTATTCCGGTCCTGCTGGAGGCAGCGATCCCGAAGGACCAGTAGGTTTTGCTCCCGCCTGGGGCTGACTCCTGACTGGGAGGGCTCCTGATCTTTGAGGCCGTTTGCAGCTGCTGCTCCAGCGCCCTTTTCAAGAGCCTCCACAAAGTCAGAGCTAGGCCTGAACAAGGTTCAGCAGTGGCGGCCTTCCCAAGTTGTCCTCCCTTCTGTCATTCCAGCGACCTTACAAAGCAAGTGCTGAGGAGATGACCAAATACCACAGCGACGATTACATCAAATTTCTGCGGTCCATTCGCCCAGACAACATGTCTGAATACAGCAAGCAGATGCAGCGATGTGAGTCAAGGCGGAAGGTGTTATGTTTGCTTGGAGATCCTCAGACGTGCTTGGCTAAAAACGGGCCCCTCGGTGGATTATTTTTTGGGGGGTGGGAAGAAAGGTTAAATCAGGCTCATAGCAGTACGGATGGATGATATCGCCCCTGTAAAATCCACTTGCAGTATCTTATCCATCAGCCCTTAAATGAGGCTTTTGATCCCAGTTGGGAAAAGCCTGGCCTGACCTCGATTGTGTGGTTGCTTTCAGCTAGGATAACAAACTATGGCTTTTCATTCTCGGACTAGCCCCAACAAGCCTCTGCTGTTGCTGGGACCCGCCACCTATTTGTGGACGAGAAGAGAAAATTAGCAATTCTCTCGTTTTCAATACATTTGCAATTCCAAGTTACCAAAGATAACTTGTTAATATCCACCACTTGTGTGCCAGAGAAAGTTTGGTCAGTCATGCAAAAAAACAAGGAATAACTCCTCTTTATAACATTTGTTGCTGGAATTGAGTTAAAGCTTGAGAAATGTTGAGTGCGGTACAAATGTTCACCCTTCTACCCAAGGCAGTGTTTCCCAACCACAGCAACTTTAACTTCAACTCCCAGAATTCCCCAGCCAGCACGATGGGCTACCCTGCTGCCCTGGGATCTCCTAGTGGTCTCCTGCTGAAGTACTAACAGTCTTGAACCCCGAGCTTTGAAGCGCCAATGGGGAGTTCTGCAAACCTCTCAGTTTGCCAGAGCGCCATCAGGTGGCGCCACCTCCTAGCCTTGTTAAATGCCAGTGGAGACAGCTTGAACAAATCTGACATCTCACTTTCATTAATCAGCAGCTTTTATGTTCTTTCCCCCCTCCCCTGTAAGCCAGTGTTTCTCAACCTTGACAATTTTAAGGCATGTGGACTTCAACTCCCAGAATTCCACAGCCAGCATTGCTGGCTGTGGAATTCTGGGAGTTGAAGTCCACATGCCTTAAAATTGCCAAGGTTGAGAAACACTGCGTGTAAGCCATATTTCTCAATGCAGCTGCTCACTTTTTGCCTCACATTCTAGATCCCACGAACTCCAGTGGAAGGACAGCTTGATTGCACATGGTTCACAAGTTATACATTGATAATCTATTTATCAAATGTAGAGATTGAGCAACTCTGGGTGATGTGCAGTTAAATCTCTCCTTCCAAACGCATTCCCAGGCAAACCTCTGTTGCTTTGGTGTTCTTTTTTTCTTTTTCTTTTTTACAAATTCTGATATATCTATTTCTCCTTCTGGCTGAAATCATTGACGCGTTGTGATTAAGCAAGGACTTCTCCTGTTGCTTTCTTTTTCAAGTCAATGTTGGAGAAGATTGCCCTGTGTTTGACGGACTGTTTGAGTTCTGCCAACTTTCTGCAGGAGGCTCCGTTGGTAAGTAGCAATCACAGTATTAAAAATAAAAACCTCAAAAGGGTGCACTAACTGCACTGCTTGTTCTGCTGAGGGCCTCAGTTTCAGTGTGGAATTGCAGGCCGTGTGTTCAGACATCCGATTCCTGCTCATCTTAGGCCAGGCAACGATGTGCAAAGTGGCTTTGAATTTAAAATATCCATCTGAACGCAAACTATTTCAGACAGTTTGGGAAAATGTCAGGAGGAGGCTGATACAGGCACTCCACATCTTAGAATCTCAACTGGGACCAGCATTTCTGTTGCCAAGCAAGGTGGTGGTTAAAGTGAGTCACGCCCAATTTTATGCCCTTTTTTTGGTCATAGTTAAGCACATCTCTGCAGTTAAATGGATCACATGGCCTTTCCCATTGATTTTGCTTGTGGGAAACCAGCTGGAAAGATTGTGAATAATGATAACATGACCCAGGCATGCTAAACTATCATAAATACATTCCTGATTGCCAACCCCCAAATTTTGACCATGTGATCATGAGGATGGTATGAGGACCTGTCATAAGTTACTTTTTTCAGCGTCATTGTAACTTTGAACAGTTGATTGTAAATCAAAGACTGCCTCTTGTCCCCTTGAGCTCACAAAAGCTTATGCCTTTTTAAGAAAATGTGTTAGTTTGGAAAAGTGGCTATCAAAATCCTGATTTTTTTTTATCCTCCTATTAAACATTTTGCTAAAGCAGCTGTTTTGAGCTTGAGACATTCTGTTCCATGCTCAGATCACTTTCAAAATGCTCAAAACAGCTGTTTCCACACAGAAATGAAGTGTTTTGGATTCAGAATAACTCACATCAAAATGTTTTGTACATTCCACATGATAAGTTCACGGATGAAGGTTTCTAGAGAATGTTGTCTCTCGTGCTTCCATGAATAGTCATCTCAGAACAGTGTTTGTATAGATCTGGATAAATATTTAGGAGTTTGTGGATCCTTGAATGTGTATACAGTCAGCCCTCAGTTTATGACTAGTTGCTTAATGACGGCTTGAAGTTATGAACCCCCAAAAAGGGATGACCAGAGTTTAAAGTTCTGACGGCTGCCCTTCCTGCCATGGTCACATGATTTTGTGGATGCTCGGCAACAAGCTAGCATTTACAACTGATCATGATTTACAGTGTTTCTTCCCCTGAAACTGGGGTTTACTTCTGTTTTCCAGCAAAAAAAAACTTCCATTGGGAACAAGGGGTTTACCTGATGACTGTCGTGCCAAGTTTAATGACTGCTGCAAAAAATACCGTAAAATCAGGCGTACTCACATAATAACCCGCTTAATGACCAGCATGTCGTACAACTTTATTCTGGACTCAGTTACGATTCTAACTCGAGGACTACCTGCAGCATGGTTTTCCTTGGTTGTCAATTCTGGGTGTTTTGTGCCAACCCAAAGGATCTCCAACTGCTGGACTGGCAGCCTTCCCGTTGTCCTTGATAGTGGGGACTCTGCAGATTGTCCTCCCAGCACCTCTAAATGGTACCGATAGAAGAGAAATATTTGTAGCTCAGCGCTGAACTGTGGAGTTCTTGATGCTCTCTTGGTGTTTTTCTTACAGGCATTTCATTACCAATCTAGATAACATCCTCAGGGCATTCTGAATGGGCCTGGCTGCGATGGCTGCTTTGTCATCTCTGCCCTCTCACTGGCTTGAATTTTTCTCCCCAGCAAGCGCCGTGAAACTAAACAAGCAGCAGACGGACATCGCCGTGAACTGGGCTGGGGGCTTGCACCATGCCAAGAAATCAGAGGCTTCTGGCTTCTGTTACGTCAATGACATCGTCCTGGCTATCTTGGAATTGCTCAAGTACGTGAAACCGCCACTTTATATTCTGGACCTAAATGAAATCCTCATCTTTATTCCAACATTTCTCAAAATCATGCCCATTTTAAGGACTTCAGCTCCCAGAATTCCTGGCTGGGAAATTTTGGGAGTTGAAGTCTACACAATGGCCAAGGTCAAGGAACCATGCTTTTATACTGTGGATCTAAGTGAAATCCTCACCTTGGCAAAAATATCCTATTCATCCTGTGCAGAAAAAGCTGCTCGGATAGGGAAATCTCTGAGAGGTTTGACAGCTTTGCTCTTGTTTTAACCACCACGGAGGGAATTTACGTATGAGGCAGCTGGAGAGGCACAGATTTGAATAGGCAAGCCCAAGAGGCATTATTTGGTCCGACAATGGCTTTCAGCGAGCATTTAAAGGAACCCCTGGCGTTTTGCAGAATCTGAGCCCAGTGTGAAACTGAGTCCTGACTTTGTGATGCAGTTTTGCTCTTCTCCCATTCTGGTGTCCCAAAGGGAGGCTCCTGAGGGTGTTTCAGGAATGCCTCCTTTTAAAAGGATCCACCCTGATACCCAACAGCCTGGGTGCGGAATGTGGAACCAAGATCCTCAGCAACTACTCAGCTTCCCTAAGAGGTGGGTTGATGACAGTAATTATTTCTGGAAAGGAAGGAAGAGGAAACATCTCCCCCTGTAAGATTCAGACACACAGGCTGTATTCAGCACCCTGGCTGTGTAATTTTCAGCAGTTAAGGATGCCCTCTCTGGCAGCTTGATTCCACCTTTCCTGGCCCCTGGCTATTATCCCGGGATGCCCATTTGAAACCTCACCAGGCTGTCGATCATGCAAACTTACTGTCAATGCTGCTAACATCGGATGTTCTTGCTTGACAAAATAGGAAGATGCAGACATTTTCTATTTCACCTGTGTGTTACTTTTAGAGTTAAAATTAGATAGTTAATGGGTGAGGAGGGGGGGAAGAATGTCCTTGCGGGCTAGTTAGCCATAACAATATCTCAGTAGAGTATTTTTCAAGGTGAGTTGTAATGAGAGAAGATAAGGGGAGAGAAAGTTCACACTTCAAACTAATTGGAGAATGTGATTAATGACGGTTAAATGAAGGAGTGAGTTATGCTGTGTTACGGGTGTGTTGGGGGAGGAGAATTCAGATTTTGGCTTCCCTATGTACGTGCAGGAAGCTATGTAGCAATTAAAAAGATTCTTTAAGGTAAACAATGCCTCAAAGTTCTTTGAAGAGTTTCTTCTTTCGGAACCATGACACTTACTTTCTTCTCAACAAGGCCTGGTGTGGCTTTGGGAACTGAGTTTTAAAACTGGCTAATTTTGAGTTTGCTTTGGGGGGGGTGGGGATGCCTAGGTTCCTCGTGGCTGAACGTTATTTTTGAAGTGCCAGCCTGATCTCCCTTTGCAACCTCAGGTACCACCAGAGAGTCTTGTACGTTGACATCGACATCCACCATGGCGATGGTGTGGAGGAAGCGTTCTACACCACAGACCGTGTCATGACAGCGTCCTTCCATAAGTATGGGGAATATTTCCCAGGAACTGGGGATCTGCGGGTGAGAATGGAAATTTGAGATGCGTCTTCCTGGGCATTCGGTCCCTCTTCCGTCTTTTTTTTTTTTGTTGGCTCGCAAACTTTCCAGGCCCTGTTAGGCAACAGAGTTTTGCATTATCTCCTCTCCTTTTAAAACGAGATGATTTGTGTTCTCTGGGTCAGAGGTCCTAGCACACCTATTCCCAGATTGAAAAGTTTAATGCGACAGAATTTATGTCACAGTGTTATCGAATGGAAGAGAGCAGGCAATCTCATTAGTGTTACTGACTGTTCCTATGACTGAAATAAGCTCTGATGATAATATCTGGCTGATTTTGTTTCACCTCAAAAGCTGTGTCAATTAGACCCAGAAATCCCAGATCTGTGGTCTAGATCCGTGGTGGCGAACCTATGGCACGGGTGCCAGAGGCGGCATGCAGAGCCCTCTCTGTGGGCACACATGCCGTTGCCCCAGTCCTAGGCCTTCAGCTGGGTTTTATAAAACCTTTTTGCTTTAGGCCTCTGCCACCGTGTGCAAAAAAAATATATGACAAAAATCAATCAATCCATCAATTTCAACTTCTCGCGGGGAAAAAAAAGATCTCGCAAAGTTGGAATTGATTGATTGAACTTTTTAGTCCCACCCAATCTGCCATTACCACCGCAGCCACACCCACCCAATGGGCCACGCCCACCCAATGGGCCGCACCCACCCAATGGACCACGCCCACCCGGCACCCGATGATACATAAGTGGGTTTTGGGTTGCAGTTTGGGCACTTGGTCTCTAAAAGGTTCGCCATCACTGGTCTAGATTGAAAGACATCCCAGAAATTTTCCAAAAATTACACACGAGCGTCTCCATTAGTAGTCGACATTGACTTGAAAAGGACAACACCTTGATTAAAGAACTTGTCTTTCACATCTACTTCTCAGAGTGCAGCCTTTTGTACACTAGGGAGAGGCAGAGTATGGCCTTTGGCCTGGAAAAAGCTGTGTGTGCCTCCAGGGGCGTGCAAAATGTTTCCAGTTTAAAATTGTATTTATTCTATGGCTGCCCTTCTCAGCCAAGTGACTCTGGGCAACTTACAATTCTGAAACAATAAAACACGGCCTTGTTGAGTTTGAAACAGACCGGGCATTTCTGGGAGAGTTGAGATGCTGTTTTGAGCTTGAAACAATTCAAATGTGAAACTTTCTTAACCTTGTTCCATTCCTCTTCCTGTGTATTTACTGATTATTAGATTCCAGGTCACCTCTTGAAAAGATGGGCTGTGATCTGGGTCTCCGTAGGGGTAGTCTTGACACCGTCACCCAGTGTTTCTCAAACGTGGCAATTTTAAGATGTGTAGCTCTCAGAATTCCTCAGCCAGCATGTTGTGTTAAAGTTCACACATCTTAAAAGTGGGCTGGGGAATTCTGGGAGTTAAAAGTCTATGCATCTCAACGTTGCTAAGGTTGAAAAAAAAAACACTGCCTTAAGCGTTACATCAAACGAGCTTTCCTTTCCATGGAAAGCTACATTGGCTGAGAAATGCATTGTTTTGGCTTAAGAAGAAATTGATGGAGCCAAGGTCACACCCTGCAAGCATAATGTGAATATTAGAACACTCACTCTTCAAGGTCTCTCCCTCTCTTCTCCTCCCCCCCCCCGAAAGTAGCTTGCTGTTACAGCAACAAAGAAGGACTAGATAGGGAACATTTGGGCGCCATTTGGCAAAATCTCACTCATTGGGGAAGAAGAGAAGTAGATGCCCATGTGTTGCCCTTTGCCCTTCCTCATCTTCTGGGATCGGATGCGCTGGTTGGCATCCTTGTTGAATGTGGCTTATTCCTTTTGATTCAGCACCAGCTCCTCCCCTCCCCCAAGTCTTCTGGGCTGAGCTCTCCTGGGCAGGGCAAGATGGCTGGCTCTCCTGCTTTGGGGAGGTGTCCTTGGGAAATGCCTTGGCTCTAAAGGAGCCAAGGGAGCTTGTGGACAAGCCCTTGGCGGTGTTCTGGGTGACGTGAGAAGGGTGTGCCACTGTTGGGCCACAGGGCCTCTGCGAGCTTCAGAATGCCAGCAGTCCCTGACTTGGGCATCCTCTGAAGGTGGCCCCAGCCGGTGTTTCAGATGCCATCTTTTCTTCTTCTTCTTCTTCTTCTTCTTCTTCTTCTCCCTAAGGATATTGGTGCGGGCAAAGGAAAATATTATGCTGTCAACTACCCTCTCCGGGACGGGATCGATGACGAGTCTTACGAAGCCATTTTCAAGCCGGTAAATGTCTTGGTCCTCGAATGCTTCTAGTTCGTTTTGTAGGTGCTGCAGTTGCCTTGCTGAGCTTTGCAGGCCTGCAGATGGTGGAGAAAGTTGTAGCTTCTAGCAAGGGCGATTGGAGGGTCCTAGAGGAGCAGGGAGGGGGGTGGGAGAACCTGAGCTGTCAGAGATGAAAGCGCAAGCTTCAGGCTACCTGCTCAGCACCGGCAAGCCCTTGGTCTCCTTCAGGTCCTGTGGGTGGGAGGAGGTGGGAGAGTCTTGTCCCTGCTCTGCGTGGAAGCATAACAGGAGCTCTGGGTGGCTTCTATTGAGGAACAGGCTTTGGTGAAGGCGTTGGGCTGGCTTTTCCTTCTCTGCCAGACCTTGTGCTGAAAGGTAAGCGGTCCTGGTGGTGACCCTTCCGGTTCTGTGCGTTGGCTCCATTGTGACCATGCTCAGGTGTGTGTTTGTTTGTTTTGTAATGGCCAGGTGATGTCTAAAGTGATGGAGACATTCCAGCCAAGTGCCGTTGCACTGCAGTGTGGCTCGGATTCCTTATCGGGGGACAGGTTGGGTTGTTTTAATCTGACCATTAAAGGTAAGAGGGGTTCCTTGGAGGGGTGTGTGTGACTTACTCAGGGTGTCCCCAGGATGCTTTGCTGCTCAAAATCAGCTGCGGGTCCTCTGAGGGACCCGCTCAAGGCTTTGCGGGATTGCAGGGGAATCTTTAAAGGTTGGATATTTGTGTCTTGTGGCACAATGAGAATCAAAGGTTGTCTTTAACACTGAAATGCATCTCCCCCCCATTGTTTCGTGGCTCCCTTGGGTTGTCTCCCTCCTTCATAATTTTGCTGATTCGTTGCTAAGTGGGAGCTCACTTCCAACAGACTGATGCTCTTCCTTCCTTCCCCCAGGTCATGCCAAGTGCGTGGAGTTTATCAAAGGCTTTAATTTGCCCATGCTGATGCTGGGAGGTGGTGGCTACACCATCCGTAATGTGGCCCGGTGTTGGACATACGAGACGGCTGTGGCGTTGAACACAGAGATCCCGAATGGTACGCAGGACTCTTGGCTAGCTCACCTGGGGAGGGGGGGGGCACGGACAGGTCCTCAGGGGTCCCAACAGCAAGGTGAACGAGGGCAGCTGCTGAGCTGCTAGAGCAGTGGTTCTCAACCTTTTTAATGCCACGACCCCAACCGTTCGTAAGTCGAGGACTAAACCGTTCGTAAGTCGAGGACTACCCAACCGTTCGTAAGTCGAGGACTTTCCCTGCCCGGGAGCGCCGCACATGCGTGGTTCCGCCCCCTGCGCCGGCCGAGGCGTAGCTGGCAAGCGGCAGAAACGGAGTAGGCTGACCACCAGCTGGCCCAGCTCAAGGGAGGTAAGGCACCCGCTGGAAAAGGGGAAAAAAATGGCAGACAAAAAAAATGGCGGACAGCCTTGCTTGGCAACCCCCATGAAATGGTTGATCGACCCCAAATGGGGTCCCGACCCATAGGTTGAGAACCACTGTGCTAGAGAGTTACAGAGCCAAGCATCTGAAAACCCGCCAGCCCTGGGACCTGGGGTGAGTCTCTGGTTGATCTATATCAGGGGTAGGCAACCTTGGCTCTTTTATGACTCGTGGACTTCAACTCCCAGAATTCCTGAGCCAACCATGCTGAGGAGAAAGGGAGAGGTTTCCAAGCTGAGCCATGCTGGCTCAAGAATTCTGGGAGTTGAAGTCCACGAGTCATAAAAGAGCCAAGGTTGCCTACCTCTGATCTATACACTTGGAAGATGGGTTTAAGGCTTGCCTTGCATCAATATTTGTGGTGGAATCTGGTGCTGAGTTGCAGGAGGGTGGGGGGGGGTCTTTCACAAGGAGCTAAGAGACAAACCAGCCTTGAATTCTTGGTATGCAGAAAGAGACCCTGGAGGGATCCTCCCTAAAATGTCACAGGATTTATCTGATAGATCTGCCAGCATAGTGTGCTTTAAGTCTGGCAAGATTCTGGCCTGGTGAGCAAACAGCAATAAAGAAAACTATTCTGAGCAGTTCATTTTTGGTTCCTTGTGCCTGAGTCTTGATTTATTTATTTTATTTATTTTATTTATTTTATTAAATTTATATCCCGCCCTTCTCCTTGCGGACTCAGGGCGGCTTGATGCTAAGGGAGTGGTAGTGCTAAGGGAGTGGTAGTGCTACTTAAGAAATGCGTAGTAACTGCCAGTGGGCATCGTTTTAGGTTTATTTGTTAACTAGCTGTACCCGGCCACACGTTGCTGTGGCTCAGTCTGGTTAAATGGAAAAGAAAGAAAAGAGAAAGCGCACGTTTGTAATATGTTTAGACATCTATAATATGTGACATCTATATAATAGTAGGTATATAAAAACACGCGCGTATTCGAATGCAACGTTGTGTCAAAATTTCAAAGCAATCGGTGAAGAACTTTCGGAGATTTAAGATTTTGAACAAACGAACATTTACATTTTTATTTATATAGATTTTACAGGAGCCAAAGTGCCTTTTGTGCACTCTCTTCCAGTTTTCTGGCAGCATCAGCCTTCTGTTTTGGCTGGGCTGGGAAGGAGTGCCAAGTCCCCAAAGAAGCTTTCACGATCACGTGATTATTTGAGTTTGCACTTTCTGCTGCGCCGTTTTGAGGCCGTGGACGTCCGTCCTCTTTGTGGCTTTCCTCCTTCCTTTGAATTGCCACGGGGCAGTTTAACAGCCTAACCTCGGTGCCTTTGAACCCTTCCGCAGAGCTTCCTTACAACGATTACTTCGAATACTTCGGGCCGGATTTCAAACTCCACATCAGCCCTTCCAACATGACCAACCAAAACACCAATGAATACCTGGAAAAGATCAAGTAAGTCCCTGCATTTATATATATATATATTTGGTGTGTGTGTAGATTTATATATATATATATTTGGTGTGTGTGTAGATTTCTGCTGAAGGGCTTCTTCTGCTTGACGTTTTGATTCCTTGGCTGCAGGCAACGTCTCTTTGAGAACCTGAGGATGCTCCCCCATGCCCCTGGAGTGCAGATGCAGCCAATTCCAGAGGACGCCGTGCCGGAGGAGAGTGGCGACGAAGAAGAGGAAGATCCTGACAAACGGATTTCCAGTGAGTGCCGGGCCCGGAGGAATTGCCGACAGAGGGGGCCTCTCTTTCAGCTGAGGGCTTAGGAAGAAGTACTCTCGAATAAGTACCGAATATTGCTTTTCCTTCCACCATCCCTCCTTTTTATCCTCCTCTGCTCCATCTGTATTTGAATGTCTTTAGGTCTCAGGAGAAGAGGCTTGAAAATTGGACTGTCCTTTTACTACCTTCTAGGCCAGGGCTTCTCCAGCTTGGCAACTTTAAGATGTGTGGACTTCAGCTCCCAGAATTCCCCAGCCAGGAAGTCCATGCATCCTAAAGTTGTCGAGGTTGCCCTGCCTTGCCCTTCCTTCCCTCCCTCCCTCCCTTCTCTTCCTTCCTCCTTTCCTCCCTCCCTTCCTTCTCTTCCTCCCTCCCATCCTTCCTCCCTTCCTTCTCTTCCTCCCTCCCTCCCTTCCTTCTCTCCCTCCTTCCCTCCCTCCCTTCCTTCTCTTCCTCCTTCCCTCCTTCCCTTCCTTCCTCCCTCCCTCCCTTCCTCCTTTCCTCCCTTCTCTTCCTCCCTCCCCCCTCTCTCCCTTCTCTTCCTTCCTTCCTTCCTTCCTTCCTTCCTTCCTTCCTTCCTTCTCTTCCTCCTTCCCTCCCTCCCGACTCTTTCAAGCATGCTGTTTTATGTTGAAGGAACTCTCCTCGGATTCCTTGCTCTTCTACCATTGAGTCTTCATTTATCTTCCACAGCCTGCTTGATCCTCTTCAGTCCCAGTTTCAGAAGCTCAGCTGGGACAACGTGCTCCTGAGTTCTGAATGGCATTCTGGTGGCCAAGTCTTAAATCTGACTTTAGAGCTAATTCTTTTGGACCGAACGGCCCCATTTCAGATGCTTGGCCACCAGATGCTGCTATCTCGCTTACAATCCCCGGGGATCATTCACTCTGTATTGGACCGGTTTCAATCTTGTGTAGCATCCCATTGCTACACAAGATTGCTACACAGATGTCCATTGTGGCATTTCTCTTGTAGCAGGCATTTACAACAGAAAATTAAATCTTTTTTTCTACGTCCTTGATTATTCCTGGTGTCTTGTTTCATGACCAGGACATTTGGTATCATCATTTTGCTGGTGATAGTCATCTCTATTGGTCTTTGATGACTGCATAGGGCCCACCACAACACAGTGTCTTCTAATGCTTCATCCTGGATGCCCTTCAAGTGTCCATGTTCCATCCTTCAAGCAAATATGGATAAGATGAAGATTTGAATTTTGGCCGATTATTTTTCCCAGTTGTCTGTAGTGTTTGTCCAGCGTTTGCTTCCAAAGTTCCTTAATTGACTCAGTTTTGTCCACCTTTAGGTTTGATTGATGACCAACTAACTCTGCCCCCATTTCTCAATCTTACCGCAAGGGTAGCTAAGTTTTATTTGATGGATACTAATTCGAACTGGCTGTTTCTGGGGGAGCAGACTGCGGCTGTATTGATTTGTGCCTCTGTTGTTTCATGCTTCAGTTACAGTAATTGCTGACTGGCATGCACTCCTGATTCCTCCTGTGCCCAGAGGGGTGCCAATTGGGACCTTCCACCCTTCTGTTGCCGGGCTCTTCACTGGATCCGAACTTGATCCCGAGCCCAGATTCAATGGCAGGGGTGGAGTTTTAGCCCTCTGATTACCATCTTCTATTCTGCCCCATTTTCTTCCCACCACTGTCCCGTTTGCTCCATATGTTCCCTTGGCAGGTTTCTCTGCTGATCTGGCCCTGAGGCTCTAGAACAGTGTTTCTCAACCTTGACAATTTTAAGGCATGTGGACTTCAACTCCCAGAATTCCACAGCCAGCATTGCTGGCTGTGGAATTCTGGGAGTTGAAGTCCACATGCCTTAAAATTGTCAAGGTTGAGAAACACTGCTCTAGAACGAGCCTCCTCTTTCCCTCTGCCTTTGTGTTAGCTTAATGGCTTTTCAAAGGGATTTAAAGACCTTTTTTATTTGACTAGGAAGTTACTCTGGAGTCTGTTTATTCCACCCTCTTCTTGTTAATGGTGAAGTTCCCAGGCTGGTGCCTGTCTTAGACTAATTGAAATTGTGTGTATACTCGAGGTCCAGTAGGAATTTGCTTTAAAATGGGTACAGGGGTTGTGCTTGCATTTATTTTAGCTGTGAATAGTTGCTTCCTTGGATTTGTTGTTAGCTTGGGGATTCTTTATCCTGGATGGAATTTTTGTGATTGCTGAGTCATTTCGACTTACACCTTGGGGAAAGTGTATAACCAATAAAAAAATATAATAGTCGTTTTTATTATTGCAATGGATGTTTTGAAACGTTATGCCGTATAAAACGCAGAGTCTTTATGGGTGGTCAGTATTATTACTGGTGGCGTTATTACCCTGCCTTTTTATTTTTAATCTAGCTATCTCGTGGTGATGAACACACCTAATACTTCTTCCTCCTCCAATTTTCCTCACAACAACCACCTTGCAAGGTGGGTTGGGTCGAGAGAGAGGGACTGGCCCAGAATCAACCAGCTGGCTTTCATGCCAAGGGCAGGACTAGAACTCAGAGCCTCCTGATGATTGGCCCAAAGTCACCCAGCCAGCTTTCATGCCCTTGGGAACTGTGCACTAAACTGACTTCTTAGTTTAGGGTTTAAATTAGGGCTTTTAATCTCAGGGTCCTGTTGCAATTCCCACCCTGCCCTTGTGTGCATTGTTGACCTTCATCTTTTCTTTTGGGAAAATCAGTTTTGGCCAATGCGCTGATGGATGGACATCTAATGGCGGGACTTACTGTTTGAAGAAAAAAAAAGAATAATTTTAGCCTTCCTCCTTCTCTGTATGAAATGTAAACCCGCTAATATCCCTTTCTGCTTCTCTTCTCTCCCCCCCCCCCCAGTTCGCTCTTCGGACAAGAGAATCGCCTGCGAAGAGGAATTCTCGGACTCGGAGGACGAAGGAGAAGGCGGACGCAAAAATGTTGCCAATTTCAAAAAGGCTAAACGGTCAAAAACGGAAGAACAGGAAAAGGAGGAGGAGAATAAGAAAGGTAGCAGCTATTTATTCGTAGGGGAGTACTTTAAGTCCTGCTTGTTAGGGAGGGGAAAAAAAATCAAATTAGTGGCAGAGCTGATTTTTCCAGCGAGACTTCTAATCTCCCATCCAGTGAGAACCTGCCCTGCAGAAATGCCACGTTTGGGGCTTTACATCACACTGCTGACCCTCGACATGTGTTCTGGCCTCCTGGACTAAAACTGTGTGGTTGTACTATCTCAGGAGGTGCAGATTGTTAGTTTGTTTTTAAGCCGGGACAAGTTATCACCTCTGTATTGTATCCTATTAAGAGCACAAGTAATTCTTGATTTTACAACCGTAATGGAGCCTGCTCGCACATCTGTCCCAAAATAATACAATTACAAGAAAGCTTGAAGGTACAAACCTCACTATGAAAATGAAGCCGTTTCCCCCCTTTTATATTACTATTCACCTGTTAGGTTCGAGTACCAATGTAATCTCTTCAATCAGCGCTGGCTTTCCAGTTAGTCTTTGATACCTCCCGGTGCCCATATGAATTGCACAGCTATAAAGGCTGACATTGTTGACTTTCACAAGGAAAAACAAACAAACAAACAAACACAGGACCAACTAGCCAAATTGCTGTCTTTCTGCCATAACAGCCTTAGAAAACGGTTAGGGAGGATGGTCAGTTTTGGGTGTGGTGCACAAGGACGCCCACCGCATGTTAAAGGATGTCTCTGTGTGTGTGTCTACCCTATAACTGAGAGAAACGGGGTTATCTGTTCCTTCCTGCAGCAGAAGTACACGAAGAGGAGAAGAGAAAAGAAGAACCAGCAGAGGCCAAAAGGTGAGAGACCCCGGAAGGGGGAAGACAGTTAGGTGTCACCTCTGGAAATGTCTTTTCGTAGCTTCCAGACTTGGTTCCTCCTCCTCCTCCTCTAAATGAAGCCTTTTCACACGTGCATGAAAGTGCTCTGCTTCCCTGTGGCTATGTTGTCATTGTTTGTGCAAAAAGGAAGCTGGAGATTTGGGGTGCCAGCTTCTCTCAGGCTGGTTTGGGCATTACAAAAGACAGAGATCCATCCCAGAGGTGAGCAGAGAGAGAAAGAGAGAGTGAGAGCAGTAACTTTAGAAGTGAGAATTGGCTTTTCCCCCCCTGACATTTCCTAAGCTAACAGGCCCCTAACAGCCCCCTTCGTTTCTCCAACAGCATAAAGGAAGAGGTGAAACCCACCTAAGAAACGTTGGACAGCTGGGGTACGCCACCCCTCCCTGGTTCTCCGGTTCAGCACTCTGGTTCCCTCCCTATTCCATGAGATTTGTATTTTATATGTTTCTGTTGATTTTCTATCAATCTGGGGTGGGGGGCTGTCCTCCCCTGGGAGAGCTGGCAGGAGCCAGGGAATGCCGTTTACGAGATTCCTGCTTTTGCATCGGGGAGATTTGCGTGTTTCCTTTGGGAAAGCAAACCCCAAACTTCCCTTCTGTTTTTAAAGGATGACTCTTCTCTGGGAGAAGGTATTTTTTCAGAGGAAGCTGGTCATCCCTTCTCCTTTTCTTTCACTAGTTTAATTAGCTAGGATACAGCCATAAAACTCTGGAAGAGTTATTTGGGGGGGGGGGGATAAGGGATAGGTCAGGGGTAGGCAACCTTGGCTCTTTTATGACTCGTGGACTTCAACTCCCAGAATTCCTGAGCTCAGGAATTCTGGGAGTTGAAGTCCACGAGTCATAAAAGAGCCAAGGTTCCCCACCCCTGGGATACGTGGAGCCCAGAATTCCAAACACTCTTACCTGTCTATAAGCCTCGGAAGGGTCGATCCCTTTCGAGCAACCCTGAGTGTAAACCATGGTTTAATTCCCCAACCCCACTTCACACATCCCTCTAGGGCAGGGATAGGCAAGCCTGGCTCTTTTATGACTCGTGGACTTCAACTCCCAGAATTCCTGAGCCGGCACGGGGAAAACTTTGGCCCCTTCATGACTTGTGGACTTCAACTCCCAGAATTCCTGAGCCTGCATGGCTCAGCTTGGAAACCTCTCCCTTTCCCCTCAGCGTGGCTGGCTCAGGAATTCTGGGAGTTGAAGTCCACGAGTCCTAAAAGAGCCACGGTTGCCTACCCTGCTCTAGGGGTATCAGCTCTGGAGTTGCAGGGGAGGCTCTGATCTCATCCTGCTTGTGATAGGGGAAAAAAAATCAGGGGTCCTCCCTTCGGAGCCAGTAGTGGAGATTGAGGTTTCCATTGGTGATGCCATCTGAGTTTTGCGATACCCTGTCCCCTTTTTAAAATTGTCTGGGGGCTTTTGCTTATGAATTGGCACACCAGCCTTGAGGGGCCCTTAGGAAAACCACCCTGTTGCGGGATGGCTCTGCAGAAGGGCATCTTCCTAAAACAGGAACCAGCCCAAACCTGTTTCCTGTTCCTGAATTGTGTAAGATTTCCAGGAGGCAGCATTGGCTCCAATAGGCTTGCAGGTGGGCTGGGAGTTTTTCAGGGACCCCAGGAAGTGAGAGATAGGACAGATATGTCACTGTTTGGGGTCGACCCCAGCAATGCTGCTAATTTTGCCATGTCACTCTTTCAGGGGTGGAGGGGAGGGGGGAAGGTGGGGCTTTTATTATTTTTTTTAAGCCTTTTTTTTTTTTTTTAGAGTCGCTTGGATGCAATTGCCCTTCAGTTGTTCTTATCTCTAATACTTGTATTGGTGAAATGAAAGATCATTGTATTTGTGTGTTCTAGGGGGTGGGATGGGAAGATTTATATATATACATACATATATATATATATATATTGTGTTTTTTAAAAGAAAAGTTTTTATTTTCATTTTTGCAGGGGGAAAAAAAATCTTTGTAATAAAATGGGTCTGTTTTTCTGTTTTCGACGGTGAATTCTTACAGCGGGGATCTCCCAAAATGTGTCACTGCCGGAGCAGCACATTTGAATATTCTCCAAGATTTCTTTTGCTCTGGGATACTACCTCAGTGGGACAAAGGACCTCACGGTTCACACGCAGCAGACTCATTTTCAAGGCTTTTTGCCGTTCCCACCCCAGGAAAGTCCTAGCCTTGAAGATGATACAGCCTAGAATTTAGTACCTGCATCCAGGGAGGGCACAGGAGATGGTGGGAATAACCAAGATGGAAGGATCTGTGTAAGTAACGTGTGGACGACAGGAAAGTGTAGCTGGGTAATAGCAGGGACTCCTTCCCCTTAGGGGAGAAAAGGGTTACTGACAACATAGATGCTACATGCTTCTAGACCAGACATGTCAAACTCGCGGCGTCACGTGACGTCGCGCAACATATCGGAGCTTTTTCTCCACTGCCGGCAATGGGGTGGGCGCGGTTTCCTGGTGGCGCGTCCTGCCCGCGGGCTGGCAGTTCGACACCCCTGTTCTAGACACAAAGGCTTAAAACAGCTGGGTGGGCAGAGGTTCTGGGTTCTAGCATCAAACGTGGGGAACTGTAACATGGCCTTCTCAGCTGTGGCACGTTCTGGAACACTCTCCAAAGAGGCAGCGCAGTTTAACCAATTGTGCCAAACTTGGCTTACTTAAAACTGTGGCATGTAAAACTGGCTTGTATATACATGTTTCTTTGTACTTAAATAGGAGGATTCTGCCTGGTCACAGAACGCCACCCTTCCATCATTTCAATGCCTCCAGCTTTTGACAGGTTTCCTGTGCGCTGCTTGCCACAGGGAAGCATTTTCAGTGTTGTGTATCATCAGTTTTACTCGGGGTACATGACCCTTGGAAAGGTGCTCAGAGCCAGGCATTTTCCATTTTTCTGTTGTGAAATTGACCAGATTGACTACGCTGAGCAGGGCATTCAGGAAACCCTGGGACGAATGGGCACCTGTTCTTTGCCTCTCCGGAGGAAACATAGCATTGCAGGCTTGTCTTATGCTGGCAGAACAGCTGAAACGGGACCAAAAAAAGGTGCAAAAGCAGTTATGTATCTATGAACAGTGGGCCAGAGTGTGTGCCCACAAAGGCTCGGTATGTCTTGGTAACCGCTCAGGCTCCTGCAGCTATGCCCAACGCACCCCATTTAAGCTTTTGTTCTGGCTGCTCAGTGGCTGCTGCATCTAGTTTGTTTTTTTTTAATATGCAGAGCATCAGAAAGAGCAAGAAGTGTGGCTAAGAAGCTGAACTAGGAGCAGAGAACTCAGGGTCAAGTCAAGATGCAACCTAGTGACTAGGTTTGTGGTGAGAAAAAATGGGGGTGGGGGTCCAATTCAAGATTCTATTGTCTTCAACGTCTGAGGAAATGGGACAGGAATCTAGGGATTCCCTGGAACTTCGATCATTGGAAGCCAATTTTCAACTGGAAGTCCATCCAGATTGTCCGCCAGCATCTCGACTGGAAGGAACAAAAAAAAATGGGTTTTTTTTTACGTCTGTAGTTTCCACCCAACTACTGCATCACATGGCTGGTGCTTCTTCTCCACTTGCCTAAAGAGCAAAACAGCTGGGAAGGATGAAAGATAGTGAGAGCTACGAACACTTTGGGCACTGACATCACCAGTTTTACTTGAATCCCCGGAAGGATTGCCCGGCCTAATAAACAACTGTTTTGCCAACCATTATCGCCTACTCTCTAAAGACCAGGAATTGTTTTGTTCAAGGAGGGCACTGCAGCTGCTTCTCACAGCAGGTAACTAAAGGCCAGAAGAGTTCACCAAGTTCACCCTTGTCTCACTTGCTTCCCAAATGTGCCGCGGGGGTATAACTACATGGCTGGCGCCAGCAGAGCGAGTGTCCAGATTCCCAAAGGTTAACCAAAGACCCTGAATGGCTTTTGAAATGGAAGGGTGATCCGCCAGCAGCATGTGATTCTGCGGAACTGCAAGGCTTAATTGTAACAGAATTCAAAAAAAGATAAGATCTTGGGCAGGGCAAGTTGCTTTATTCAAAAAAAAAAAAAAACCAAGCCCCCAAAACAAACTTCCTTTGATTTTCGTTGGAGGCTGCTGGGGTTGGAGGAATTAGCATGATTAGCCCTCCATGATCTGATGGGCTCCTGAAGCGTTGCGCTACATACCTCCTATCACCCTCAGCCAGCACATGCTGCAGCTTGTCCCATCATGCTTTCTAAGGACACACGGAGTGCTGATCAGCAAAACATTCTCTTCTCACTTGCTCACCGGCTCTTCGAGGGAGGTTTGCAAAAATTGAGGCAAGAAGCCAATATATAAAGTAGACAAATCTATGATGAAATACACAAGAATGTTTAGCCATTCTTGTCCCCAATCAAGACCTGGCAAGCCAACTGGAATAGGTGCTGAGCTCAAGACAAAAAAACAGCAGATTTGATACTGCTCGATTACCTACTTTGCTTTCTAGAGTCTCATCCCCCACCCCATAGCCTTTTGTACCAAAAACACCCTCAAGAGTATTTCTCAGCCCCGTGACCTGTGCAGTGGGCAGTTAAAACCATACACCCACACAATCTTTTGGCGCTTATCTGTCTCCCACGCTATCGTAGGAAACCTACAGCCAGTGAGTTTTGAGTGGTTGGTTCCTACAGCTGCAACTCCCTGCCTGCCTCCATCTTAGGCAGGAGAAACAAGGACTGCTGCCTCATATGGTGATTAGCAGGCACCTCTCCCTGATCTAAGATGAGTTAAAATGGCTGCCAGACCATATTCCAGCCTCACTGTCAAGAGAAATGCTGTACTTATATTTTCCCCCAACCCAGCTGCAGTTTTGAAAAGAATCCACTGAAGTGCTTTCAACATCTGCAGCCACTTACATGCAGCACAGAAAACACCCTACGAAGCCCGTCATATAATCCACCTGGCGATTCCAACAAGATTTACTGGCATCCATTCAGACATACCGAGCCAACCTTTACCTGCTAACTAGGGTTGGGAAGTTCTGCCTGAAAAGAGGAGCACGCAGCAGAGTTGAGTAAGGTGGGGGCTCTCCCTTGCTCAAAAAGGCTGATGGTTGAACACAACAGGTCAAGGCAATGAGGAACACCCAATGAATGCAACGGAAGATACAGACAAGATTTGTGTCTTGCAGGAATTCATACTCCTTACAAGAGCATCCTAGGGTGCTCCCCACTAAGACTCTTAATAGCCTATGAAAGAAAGCGGCACGCGTGATTAAACTCCCAAGTGCCTCCACCCAGATCTGTCCTGAAGCTCAGGGCTTCTAAGGAAATTTGTCTCCTGGCGTGTAGTTTAAATGCATTAATGGAGTAAATATATGCCTGGCTGTGATGGGCACAAGCCACTTCTCCTTGGCCTCAATTCTGGGGGAATACAGGTGCCCTCCAAATGCAGTTCAACTTTCACTGGAGAATTGGATGGCACAGAAAGAGAAATCGGCACCCCAAGGGGAAGGGTATCTGGGAATCATGCAGCTGCCCGATTACTGGCCGCTTGACCAGCTACTAGAGAAAAGGACCCAACTCCGCTCCATAAAGGGGGTCACCATTTATTCTTTTCAAATGTTACAATAAGACCCATACAACTTTTGTTTAGGAGTTAGAAAACTGCAGATCAGAAGTAGGGTCATTAAAAAATTATTTACAAAGACAAAAGGAAACGAAAATTTAAAGTCACATCATACAGCCAGCCCTCCCCCTCAACCCCCTCCCACCCCCTCCTCCCCCAGGGGTTGCCCCCCCATCCCTAAATAAACCCGAAGTAGTTCTCCCTCTGATGTCAAATTAAACACAGTGGACTTACACGCTTTATGGTTTAAAGCCAAGAGCAAGACATTATAAAAAACTAACCGGATTAGCTTTTTAAACGGTTGTTTCTATAAAAAGCACAAAATACTTTTAAATGAAGTCAGAACCAGGAATGTAAACCAAGAGATAGAGAATATCCGTTGTGAAAAACGGGTCAGTTGTTGCTGGCTTGTTGGTCTTTTTGGAGAAAAAAGAACGAGCTGCATTTGAAGATTAGTAGAAACAGAAGATCTGAGGAAAAAGAACTCGGTGTTAATAGCTGGAGTCTCATTACGTGGAGCAAGTCCCAGTTTCTGACCAGGATCAGTTCTCTCTCCATATAGTTTTAAGAGGGGCTTTAGAGCTCCTGCATGAGGGGCAGTGGTACCCTCTGGGCCAAGTCAGTTTTTTTTATTTATTTTTCTTCACTGTGTGTGTGGGGGGGGGGACACGGAGCACTGGAGAGACAGAGCTTGCCAGCTCAATGCAGAAGGCCTGTTGTGTGGGGCGGGCATGTGTGGCATGTAGTCAAGGCAGCAGTTCTGTGGGGTGGTTGGGATCGGAAGGATGGCACAGACAAGTCTCTTTCTGGTGGGCAGCTAAGTCACCTCTATTCCTCTTTCTGCTCGGCGGCGGCAGCAGCAACAGCAGTGTCGGCCGCAGCAGCAGTGCCGGCCGCAGCGCTAGGCTCCACCTCCGCAGATTCCGAGCTCTCATCTGGCTTTACGTCCCCCTGGCTCTCGCTGGAAGGCGGCTGCTGTGGCTGTTCCTCCTCCTTCGCTGGCTCCTCGCTGCCATCTTGCCGCTTGGCTGCCGGAGCAGCGGCCGCGGCTTCCACGGGGGCTGCTGTCTCCTCTTGGGGCGCATTGGCCTGCTCCCCCTCCTCGGTGGCAGCGGTGGCTGACTGGTCCTCGGCCTCCGCTGCTTCGGCCTTCCCCTGCTGCTCCTCGGTGGGAGAGGAGGTGGCCGACGCGTCTCCCGTTTCCTTTTTGGCTTTCCGGAAGGAAATGCCGCTCAGCTTGAAGGATTTTTTGAAGGAGAAGCGCTTCTTCTTCTTGGGGGTCTGCTTGGAAGCGTTGGTGGAGGCCGCTCCGTCAGGTTTGGCTTCGCCCTCGGCCACTGGGGCTGGCTCAATGGCGTCTCCGCCGCCCGTCTCGGCCTTGGCAGGCTCCTTGGGGGCCTCTGCGGAGCCGCTGTCGTTCAGGGAGCTCACCTCCCCATCGGCTTTAGGGGACAGATCCCCGTTGACTTTCACATGGCCGTTTTCCTGGAGGGGGTAAACAAAAGGTACGCCAGAGTTACGGCTCTGAAAAGGGAGAAGCTCAGCATCCGTGAATCCCATCCAGCTGACAAAAATCCTCCCCCCCCCCCCCGCAATTGCACGAACTGAAACCCCATATCCCATAGTCCCAAGAGCCACACACACACTGGCAATAGCACCCAACCTTGACTGCGCTCACACAACAAAGTAACTGAATTAATTCGTTTTTTTGGGGCTTGCACCCAGCATCCAACCCAACCGTTCGACATCACCCGGGTTTACCCCACTATATTGAGCAGCAGAACAATTAACCGAGTTGGACCGGACCGCCATGGGCTCAGTTCTATGGGCTGAATGTCTGCTGGATCTGGCCGCAAAACAGGTACTTTGGCTTTCCTTCCACCCACAGGTGCCACACTACGACTCCGATGATCCAACTAAAAGACGGAGGGCAGCGCTTTGCGCCCCCCGCCCCCCCCCCCCAGTCCAGCTTTGGCTCTCCTTTTCTGGGAGCGGCTGGAACGTCTCTCCCCCAGGAAGGGAGCGTGCCGCGCGCCGCCGCCAGGGGGCGCCGCATTCCCGCCGCGGCCCGCCTGGCTTGCAGCGCCAAGGACGCGCTCCGGGAGCGGGACCCGAATGTGCAGGAGCGCCGCCGGCGGGAATCCCCACTGGGGGCAAAAAGGCGGGGAGGGGGGGGCGCCTTTCTCTCCCCATGCAAAGCCGCGCCATTGGGCCGCTCGGTCCGGCGGCGCTGGGGGGGGCGGCAGGGACGGACGGACGAATGAATGCAAGGCGAAGCGAGCCCCAGGGAGGGAGGGCCACGTTAGCAAAAGCGCCTCCCGCCCGTGGGTCCCTTCGAGGCCGAAGCGCCCCAGTCCCGCCCCTCCTGGAGAGCCAGAGGTTCGGGGTTCCTCGCAAAAGGGCGGAAATCAGGCGGGGCGGCCCCCCCCCGTCGCATGCACGGAGCTTGTCGATGACCCGGCTGCGCAGCCCCCCCCCCTCCCCGCCCGGCTCTGCCCGTCCCCCCCGCCCCTCGCCCGGGAATGCGCGCAATGCAGCGTCGGGATCCAGCGCGCCGGTCCTTTGTTCCCCGTCGGGAGGGAGGAGAACGCCGAGGGAGGGCGATGCGCTCCGTCTGCCGGGCTCGGCGTCGAACAAAGGCGCGCCACCACGCCGCGCCCCCGGCTGGTCGGGGGGGAAGAGGCAGCCGAGCGGGAGCGGGCTCGGGCAAGGTCCGGCGGGCTTCAGGCGAGCGCGGCGAGCGGTCCCGAGAGGCTGCCGCGCCCAAGCCGGAGCCGGGCGGGCGGGCGGGGCAGCCTCGGCGGCAGCGCGGGGAACAATGGCAGTTGGCCGGCTGCGCGCCCCAGACCCACCTGGCCGTTGGACTTGGAGGGCGAGGCGTCGCCGGCGGCGTCCTGGGCCATCACGTCCCCCTTGGCGGCCTTGGAGCTGTGGCTGCCCATGGTGGCGCGGCTGCGGGCGAGAGGGGCGCGGGCGGGCGGGCGGCGATCAGGGCAGGGCAGGCAGGGCAAGACGGAGAGGAGCCCCGGCCGCCTGGAGGGACGCTACGCGGTGAGGCCACCCCGGGAGGCGCCGCGCTCCGGGCGTCGCTGGCTGGCTGGCTGGCTCGCTCGCTCGGGTCCCTGGCTCAGCCGTTGCAGCCTCCGCGCAACTCCTCGCGCGCGCCTCGCTTGCACTGAGCCCGGTGCGCAAAAGCGGCGGCTAATAAGGCTGCCGCACGCGCGGGGGCGGGGCCGGGCGCCGGAGCCCCGCCCGGGGGAGGCGCCAAGAGGCGGGGGGGGGGCTTCTGGCTCTCGGCTCGCGCCAGGGCGGGGGGGGGGACGCTGCAAGGGCGCGGCCGTGGCGGACCCCGCAGACCCTCGCCGGGCAGCCCTTGCGGGGACCTCTCGGGCAAGGAGCGCCCTGCGCCGGTGCGCTCGTGCATGTGCAGAGTGCGCTTGAGCATGTGCAGAGTGCGGTTCTCTCTCTCTCTCCCGTTCTGCTGTAGCTCTTGGTAAATCAAGTCTGGGGTAGCCGGTCCAGAGCGGTCCCCGACCACGTGGGCGCTCCCCGGGGTTGACTTTGGAGAAGCGCCCCTCTCTCCCTCTTAGGATTGCGCCCCCCCCCCCCCCTTCGTTGGGGATGTGAAAACCCCTGTGGGCACCTGCTGTGCTCCCTCGGGGTTGACGCTCCTGTAAGGATGCTGATAAGCTTTGCTGAACGTGGTTTAGTAAATGAAACGTGATCCGCTTGGGTTGACGCAACAGTTCGAAGTGTTAAATCAGGGGTAGTCAACCTTGGCTCTTTTATGACTCGTGGACTTCAATTCCCAGAATTCCTGAGCCAGCTTAGCTGGCTCAGGAATTCTGGGAGTTGAAGTCCACGAGTCATAAAAGAGCCAAGGTTGACTACCCCTGTGTTAAATTATTGGCCAAGCCACGACGGTTGACTTTGCGTAGCGCCCCGAATTGAACACGTGCAAACTGTAGGATGGCTTAGCGAGATGTTTGCATCTTACTTAAGGGCCCAAAATTGCCTTTTTTCAATGCGTGGTTTGTTTTTTTGCTTCTTTGCCTTCCTGACTTAAATGTGGTGGTTCTGCGTTCAGGTTAAGGAAGGAAGCGTTGAGTTGCTTGTTGGGACTTTATTTTTAGAATTGCACAAAATGCCAGTTTGGTAGCACAGAAGGTGGGATATGAATTTGTACTGGCTGAGGGTAATTAGTATACTTCCATTGAGCGTGCAAAATGTAGGGCTTTGGGGATCAGATCATCTCTTGAAGAGCTGCTTTCAAAATAAGTGGATGAGATTAGATCTTTCATGGTTCTTTGCCACCACAATAACAATGGATTGAACAAGCTGGAAGAAGTTAGTTAAGTTTAGGGTAGTGGATGTAGTTAGGCGTAATGTGTGTGTTGTGTGTTGTGTTTCCCTTGATGTGCTCTTGTTGGCTAATAACACCCCATCTACGCTCATACAGTGCTACCTTGGTACTCAACTGCTTTGAAACTCATCAAATTTGGTATTGAACGCATTTTGACGTGAAAATTTGGTCCCGGTACTCATTGTTTGTTTGGTACTCAATGCACAAGCTAGAACTTGTTGGTGTCGGCTGCCTTGTAATTCATTATATTATGGGAAAAATTGTTTGAAACTCCTTGCTTTTGGTACTCATTGCGCCTCCTGGAACCATTTAATGAAAGTATCACTTTTTTCCCTGACTCCCACCCTGTGGATGCCCCTTAACCATTGCAAAAAACGACAACGTATTAAAAATTAAACATTAAAAAATTAAACATTTAAAAACTGCATTTAAACCTGTTGTTGATAACTATTTGATTGTTTCTGGCTGCAAGAGAAGAAGTCTTTTTTTTTCCCCTAGAAAAAGCCAGCGAGAAGATTTAAGTGGGTGTAGCTTTCAAGTCTTAATTAAGGGAACTTCCTACAGCTGAGGCAGTATATCCCTAAATCTTCAAAAACCCCCCATTTGTGAGTTTCCTGGGTGTATATGGCCTGTTGTGCGTGGAAGTGAGAATGTTTGCTTTCTGATCCAGCTACTCCTGGGGCCTTTATACAGTATTTACTCTCAGGTCGTAAAACACTGTACTGCTTTCACTTTGAGTTGTTGTCAATTTCGTAAGAATTTACTTCTCCGCACACAATACATGAAGCCTCTTGGCAGGAACGGCCTGTTTTATTTTTGACCCTGGAGGGGGGGGGAGGGTATGAAATGGGGTGGGTTGGGGGGTTAAGGAAGGGTTTAGGACTTGGTGAAGGTGAGAGAACATGACCTCACTGTGATTTAGTTGATTAGATTACCAGTGGAAACTGATTAACTTCCACCCCAAGGACAGGCTTGCAACACCAGACCCACTTTTCTTTGCAGAGGGGCAGGTTAGGGCACCGGAGAGCCATGGAGGGAGCTGGCCATTTGTGGGCCTGACCCCTTTCTGTCTCCTGCTGTGGGGGCCTAGGTTGCCAGGGCAGAGAGCAGTGTTACCAGATCAAGGCCATAGACGGCCGCTTATTGTTCTCCGCCAGGTTGCAAGGCTGTGTTGTGTCTTGGTCTGGAAGAGAACTGTCTGGGTGAATTGAATTATTTTCGGTTCCTTTTCCACCGGAGCCCTTGGGGGTCCAAGAGAAGAGGCAGCGCTGGCTTTCCAGAGGTGAAAAATGCTGGGGTCGAGCTTCAGTAGGTTTCGCAAGCTTTCTCCCTTCCTCAAAAAAATTATCAACAAGTTAAACATCTATATTCAATATTCCTATTTAGAATGACATTTCTACCGAAGGGGGATTTTGAGAAGCATTATATGTGTGTGGCTAAAATGGGAGACCAGGTTTCAATGCATTTATTCTTCTCAGGCCTTACAAAGTTGTTTGCATTTTTTCCCCCCCAAAATAATTTCCCATATTTAGTTTGCCAGTAAACAGCAGCCGAAAACAAAAAGCGAATTGACAAGAGGACTGTTGGACGATTTTGCCCAGTTTCTTTAAATCCATTTAATCCCCAAAGAAGGGCAAAATAGGCATTGCATAGAGTACCAACAAAATCCAGACAACTGTGTGCATTTAGGGAATTGGCGGTGCAAACTTTGGATCAGCTTTACGCAGTGTTTCTCAACCTTGACAATTTTAAGGCATGTGGACTTCAACTCCCAGAATTCCACAGCCAATATTAAAAACTCTTAATCCCGGAACAGGCTAATCGTGATCATTTCTGCCGAGTAGTACGCAAAATGCCTCCGTGTTTGACTGACGCAAGAGGAATCAAGATTTGAGCCACGTTTTTCAACCTCATTAAGTTTTAAGGTGTGTGGACCCCCAGCTCCCAGAATTCCCCAGCCAGCACGATGGCTGGGGAATTCTGCATACTGGCTGGGGAATTCTGGGAACTGAAGTGCACCCATTTTCAAGTTGCCAAGGTTGAGAAACACTGTTGTAGACCCCCTCGGAGAGCTGTGTCCCGTCCCTGGTAGTCAAACATCTGGTGCCTCTGGCCTCCTGCTCTCTGCCACTCTCTAAATAACTGGTGGTATTTTCAGTCCAAAAGTGGTGGTGGTGGTGGGGGGAGCACCAACTTTGAGTAGTTGCTAGAAGTAGAAGCTAAAGCCGCAAGCCTTGTTGATTTATCGATTGAGCCTAAGCAACTCCCCCAACGCCTGGCATTTTGACTATGTTGCCAGAGAGGAATGGGAGCTGGCAAACAAATAAAAGAGACGTTCCGTGTCATTTTAAAAATAGCAACAGAATTAGCTAATTACTAGGGAGCAAATTCCAGCCCATTGAAGCTGCAGGTCTCCCAAGAGGAGGGCTGGGTGGGGGGCAAGGAAACAAAAGTCCAGCAAGGCTGGAGGTGGAGAAACACAATGGCTCCTCCCGATTGTTTCTCTGTCTTGGCCCACCCCCAAATCTGGTTTGATTTTTGGATTAAAAGCTGGTGGGGGGGGGGGGCAAGACGCAGAGGCCTCTCCTTAGCTAATGATCTTTTGCAGAGTCCTTCCTGCTGAGTGTGAGAAGTACAATTTATTTTGCCCTTCATCACGCTAAAACAGTGGTTCTCAACCTTTTTAATGCCGCGACCCCAACCGGTCGTAAGTCGAGGACTAAACCGGTCGTAAGTCGAGGACTAAACCGGTCGTAAGTCGAGGACTAAACCGGTCGTAAGTCGAGGACTAAACCGGTCGTAAGTCGAGGACTACCCAACCGGTCGTAAGTCGAGGACTTTCCCTGCCCGGGAGCGCCCCCTGCGCCGGCCGAGACGTAGCTGGCAAGCGGCAGAGACGGAGCAGGCTGACCACCAGCTGGCCCAGCCCAAGGGAGGTAAGGCACCCGCCGGAAAAGAGAAAAAAAATGGACAAAAAAAATGGCGGACAGCCTTGCTTGGCGACCCCTGTGAAATGGTCGATCGACCCCAAATGGGGTCCCGACCCACAGGTTGAGAACCACTGCGCTAAAACCATTCCACCTGGTTTTTTTTTTTTTTTTTAATGAGCTGGTTCCAATCCTTATCATCTTTAGGCTGGCACTGTGGAGTAAAGAGGCACTGTTTAATTCTGAATTCTCTTTGGGATGAGGTACTGCCAGCTCCAGTTGCCAGCTTCTCATGTTCAAGGACTGGGGTGGTCTGCAAGGGGTGGCCAGAAGGAATTAAAATGGGGATCAAAGCACTTAAAAAACAAGTAGAGCTTCCGTTTCACCATCACAGCTGCCATCTTGACTTTTTTGCCTCCTCCCCTGCAACTGCTCCTGTTTAGAACTACACTGGAGGCGGAATGGAGAGATATTTTTGGGAGCCTTCCATCGTCATGATTTCTTGATCCTAAAATTCCTTTCTCTTTTCTTCCTGTTTCCTAGTTTTGGCTGTCTTCGCATGAGGCTTCTCACCCAGCTACTGAATTAGCCGATTGCTGGCATTCACACAATATACGGAGCAAGCTAATTCAGGGATGTCCAATCTTGGCAA